TCTTAGCTTGTATTAGTCATAAGGTGATGTTTTATAGTTAATTTCACACAAATATTTTTTTTAATTCTAACCAGCAGTTCACTAGATTAGCGCGTTCAAACAAAAAACTCATCAGCTTTAAATATTAGTATAGATTTTATTGGAAACACAGTTATAAATAGACATATTATCTATTTATTTTAAGCTTAGGTACACCAAACAGAACTTACAGATACTATGCAATTTAAAAATATAGAGTGTACCGGGCGGCCTTATCGCTGTAAACGATCTCTGCCAGAGAAACAAAACTTAACGATTAATTAAAAACTATACAGTGTGCAAGAAGTGCGAAACTTACTAATTAATTAATATTTCTTAAACTAAACAAAATAAACTTAAATTAATAATAATAAAAACCCATCAAAATAGAAAAAGTAAAAGGAAACTTCAATTTATTAACAGGACATTGTTATAAGGACAGAAAATGTTTATAAACAAGACTTTTGAAAGAAGTCAAGAAAGGAGCTAATCGGACGGAGTCAGGTATAGACTTCCAAAATTTTGCAGCAGAGATGGAAAAAGAGTTACCAGCAAAGTTTGTTGAGTGACTAAGAAATTCTAGAATAAATCTTTCCGCAGACCGCAGGCCATAGGTGTAAGGGCCTAAAAATTTGAAAGATCGTTTGAGGGTAGCCAACCAAGCTGCCTACGGTAAGTAGAGATATGATCATATTTACGAAGGCCAGAAATGAACCGGATGCAAAAATTTTGTAAACGGTCGAGCTTGTCAAGTAAATCTTCATTCATGTCAGAGGCCAAAGTGTCAGCGTAGTCTAGAAGAGGAAGGAGAAGAGATTGAGCGAGAATAGTTTTGGTAGAGATAGGAAGAAAATTATTTAACCGCCTTAAAACACTATAAGTTGCATATAATTTGCGACCGACCTCTACGTATTATGAAGTACGTAAGTAGTAGTAGGTTTAGCTTATTATAGATTTATTTCGGACTTAACGTCATAAAAAAGTCTTTAGGTAAATGTAGTAGAAAAGATATGTTAAATAGAGAGTATGTATATCACGAAAAAACCTAGTATTTCGACATCCAAACCCAACTTAGACAATTTCAGTGATAGTTACTCTAACAAGCGATTTATTCTCGGTTATTTTGCATCAAATTGTATATGGACAGTTTTTATATGGCAGTAATTCAGAAGCGTTAGAGTTTTACAAAAAATTATTTTTTTTACTACAACATAAACCGTAATTCTAAAATTACAATCGTTTAAATGCATTATCGTTATTGTATTAAGAATATAATTGTTTACTGACTAGTATCTATATACAATATCAAGTCTAAATCTATATGTATAACACAGATAATAATTATGCAGAAAAATAAGCTGTATGTACTAAAATCTAACAGATTTGAATCAAAGTCATCTCTAGCTTAGAGATGCGTTTCTTCAGTTACGGGACAGTTATTTGAAATGGTTTGAGTTTTATCCAATATTTTTTCAGTCAAGTGAGGCGCAAATTTAGGGTCAATCATTCTTTCGTTATAATCAAGAATTCGCAGCTTCGATTACCACAAGTGTTCTAAACTTAACAATAATCTGTTGACAGAGCCAAAAGAGATGACAGCACATCTTAAAAAAATCACAAGCCCTGTTTATCCTCATTTATAATAAAAAGAACACGTATATTCAATTCGGTTCTTTATTTTAACTCAGGTTAACGCTATCGCTTATCACTCACGGCCGGTCGATCTCCACGCGTCGTCTACTCCATTATTCAAAGAAACCGTACCATAAAACTCGCGCGCGCCGCTACTGAATCGTAACACGTTAGGCACCGTCCTCATTGAACCTTAAATCAATTTAATTTGTAACCTTTTTATCGCTAATGAAACATACATGTCGAGCATTAACAACGATCTGTTGGAGAATACAATATGACCTTTATTATTTACGACATTAGAAATCGTCGTGTTTGATTGGTAAATGTTTGAACTCATTTCGACTTGTACTGGGAAAATAAAAGAGCGAATTTTTACTTACTACCTACATTATATTAAGTTATTTTATTTGAATATAAAGATTAAAGATAAGTATTCAAATTTTTAGGGTTTAAAACGCAAAGTATTTAGTGAAATTATTTAATTTAATTTTGAGTTTTGCACTTTTAACAGTTTCAAACCGTTAAATTACCTATAGCTAAGTGTATACTTTTACATCAACTACAGACTATACTTTATAACACAAATAAGACTTTAAATTATTTCTTTGAAATGTTATCAGTTTCTAATTAGATAATACATGTATTGCTTTTCAAGCTATAAGCGTTTGAATAAATAATTATTTTTTTACTTTCTGTAGTTTACGCGAGTAGTACACATCTGAATAAAACACGTTAACGGTTTAAAACGCGATATAGTTTCGTTAAACTTGTTTGAAAATTATTTTTAACTGCAGCCCGTCGTTTCGAAAGGAGTCACCCCAAGACCATGACTGCTGCGTTTTAATCCGTTAAAGTGTTTTATAGGAAAGTTATTCTATAGCATAGAATAAATAATCATGTCTTTTCAGTGTAACTTCTACGTCTATACAAATACGTTTATACGTCACGTTTAGAAACAAAGTATTAACCAGAATTTTTAACTCGCAAAAATGTATGCAAAACAAGTGCTCACGAAACTTTTCTCTTGCTTCGTATTAAACTTCACTATGCAAGTTTTAATTGCAAATGATTTTCCTGTCTTGGATATTTAAACAAGTTTCTATGAATACTAATGTCCTTACTGTAGAGAATCAGAATCGGATTTTATTTTAAGTAAATATTATGTATAAAATTCAAATTTATACAATGCATATTTAGATCTGTGTTTAAGTTGTAACATCATTTTACATACAAGAAAACAAATGACAGTTTGTATTTTACGCGAGTACAATTTAAAATAAAAACACTAACGGTTACAACACAAATAAATATATTTTTTCACTTATTTATAATTTATCTCCACAACGGATCGATGTTTTAGATATTTGCCGCAGTAGTCGTCTCTCCGATCGAGTTTTAAACCGTTAAAAGTGTTTCAAGAACATGTTTCAACGTTTTAAGTATTTAAGCATATACTTATTTGCATCTTACATTAATTATTTGCTTATTTATTATATCTAAGTTCATTATATTATAATAACAATATAAATAGATTACAGACGCCTTAATTTAATTAAAATCAATTAAATAAAGGGGGGGTTTTTTATATTTTTTATTCCTTCATGTCAATTTTAACGAATACGTATGATCAATCGAAGTAAAAGTTTTAAAGAAATATTATTTTCTGATATATAGAAATCTAAATAACCTTCTTAATAGCCATGAAGCAGAAATAATTGCTTAGTTAGCAGACGTTATGACCACGCCCTTAGGTACAAAACTAACAAGCCTAACTGAAAACCGAACGGAATTCAAAAGCCCATTCCAGCATGTCCTACTCGATTTGAATATTTGTACACGGAAAATTTTTCATATGAAAATTTCCCGATGGCTATCGTTCGATGGATTGCTGAAAATTCGTATTAAAATATTTTCCACTCGCGGCGGGATTTCCTTTTTTTAATGCTCCGCAGAGGATAATAGTTCCTCATATCTGGCTTTTTTATTTCATCGCGGCTTTTTTATCTACAAGCCAAGTTTAATATGAAGAAATTCCTAGTAGCACGCTTTCCAAAAATGAAACCGTTCTATTATCAAATTTTCGATAAATAGCATTTTTATTCCCTGAAAAACTGCGATATATTTTGATTTTATTTGTTCGATTATGTCGTAGTTTCCATTGTGTCGACCTTTTAATATATTCAAATATATATATTATTGTATCATGATTTCGATTCAGCTGGTCGGTGTCCACTGCTGAGGCCTCCCCCATAGATTTCCAGTACAACCGGTAGTTCGCTAGTTAAATCCAGCGTTTCCCTACTGCCTTGACCAGGTCGTCAAGGTATTAAGATCATGTTTACCATCTCTTAAAAAACCTAAAATGAATAACCGTAAAAGACGGCAATGTCTTTACTTTTTAAATGGCTACTTCTTTTATATATTTCAAGTATATTATGTAGTTTACGCAACTACTTAAATAAAACTTTTTTTACGGTTTAAAACGCGAAATGTTTTAGTTTACTTATTTACAATTTGTTTTAATTATGACTCGTGGCTTTTAAAGCTTTGCAACTTTTTTATATTTTGATTTATTTTTATTTTATATTGCTTGTTATATTTAATATTAAAAATTGCTTCCCCTGGGAACTCTTAGGAAGAAACACGATTATCTAAGTGGGAAACCCAATACCCTGACCTAAATCAAACGCTAACTGAACCCTACGTCAAATTCAGGACGCCATTTCGTCTCTTAGTGAATTATATTCAAATCCAACACTTAACATTAAAAATCTTCAGAGATTGAAAGATCAGAACTTAAGAGAAAAACCTTTTTTTTTGATTAAACAATAGATTGGTTAATTACAATATTTTTTAAAAGAAAAACACATTTTCACCGTGACTGATAACACTGATTTTGTCTAGCAATTCTAGCTATTTAAAGAATTATCAAAAAATAATTCAACATCTAATGATAATTTTCACAATTCGATTTTACTATTATGAGGCGAACACATTTCTGTGTCCGTTTCTCTAATCAATTTAACTTAGATGAGTATCAGGCTTCTGTGGCTCCCTCTCGATCGCAATGATATATTTTTTCCCGAGGATTCGAACTCAGGACCTCTTGAGCTTAACGCTATGCTGGGCAACACGACTTTGTAACTCACACACACACACTAAGTAGCAAGAGGGATAAAAATGAATAAATTACAAGAAGTTATCCAAAGAAATTTGATTTATTAAAGTCAAAATCCAGTATACATAGCACCTAATAGTTTGTCAAAGCGAATATATAAAACCAAGTGTATAGTAGAAAATAATTCGTTTCACAGTTCGTTCAGGGACTTGGCTTGCTTTTTAAAAATTCAACGGCGGCACTGGCAAATCCTCTGCGGTGTGCATCTGGCCCATCTATAGCCTAGGGAACCGCAGACGGCACGGCATAGCTGAATAGTGCAGATGCGCTGCCGGGAGCGACTGGAACTGAATAGTTCTATCGCCTCTGATGGACTGGTGGCTGTCAATTCAGCACCAGTAGGCATCTCCACCTCATCTGGAAGGAAGGTATGAAGATGACATTAAAAGTGAGTGTGAAATCCGGTTTTTCCATGGTGTGAACACATTTCAGTAATGTGTGAAATATATTAGTTTAACTTATTATCAATTTATAAATTAAGAATCAAAAACAAATTAAAAAAAAAAATTCGACTCAGACAGGACTTGAACCAGCATCGTCAGCGTTCCGTGCTGTTGCTACCAACTAGACTTTTTAAATTTATTTCCGATATTAATTTATATTTAAAAAATATAAGGGTTTTCAATCTGCATAACAATTTATTTAAAAATTACTAGTAAATAAGTTAACCAGTAAATTAGTTAATATTTCCGTTTTAAACCGTTAAAAGTATATCAAAGCAGTAAAATACAGGCAAGTAGATGATTAGACTTTCGTGGCGTTTTTGACCGCAACAATTTCACTCAACAAACTCATTGGGATTTGAACCCATGTCATATCATTGTGGCTTAAGTAACTATATTTAGTAGTATATAGTATGTTTATAAATAAATTTCAATTTAGATTTTAAGTAAAACACTAAAGGTTTAAAACTCGATATAGCCGTTGCTGCAAAGCATCCGAAATGTCAGGCCGAAGTTAAAAATTATTTTCAAATAAGTTCAATATATTTCGCACTTGTAACCGTAAAAGTGTTTTATTTACTACTACTCGCTTTAACTACAGAGAGACACAATTTAGAACATAAATATTGCTCACTATTAGTATAACTTTAAACGCAAGTAGAAGATCAAGTCGATCGCAAACATTGCATTTCTCTCAAGACAGAAACACCGACTTCTAGCGATTAACGCAGTACACTTAACGAACAATCGACGGGGACACTCTATACGTCAATAATAGCTGTACTACTTCGTCCTGAAATGGAAACCTTCAGGGATGATTAAATTTCCCCGTTTTTTTTTACATTTTCCACTGTTGTTACTCTCCTATTGATCGCAGCGTGATTTAATATAAGCCTTCCTCGATAAATGTTCTAACCAACACGAAAAAATATCAATTTGAACTAGTAGTTCCTGAGAATAGCGCGTTTAAACAAACAAAAAATATTATCAGCTTTATAATATTAGTAAAGATGTTAAAACACTCACCAGAAGATGAACCTTGTGTGCTAGACACGAAAGCTAGCAAGAAAATTGCGAAAATTACGAAGAATTTCATTTTGATATTCAACTTAGTTGAGTAGTTAAAAAACTGATACTTTTCACAGAAAACTTTCGGTATTTAAATAGTTTATTGATTACGAAACTTACTTTATTGTAATCTACTAATCTTTTGTCACTTATCTTTGATTGCAATCCAATGTTAATTATTAAAGTATTGCCAGTTTTTTCCCTTGCCAAGATTAAGATAAGACAAACCGCTTTCATTTAGCTTAACATATCATATTTCATAATAATTACTTTAATACCTTTGTAATCGGAAATGTTTACTTATCAACAGGGGCATCCCATTAGAAGTGAGTATTTTTTTAAATAAACATTTAAATATAACTTAACTTATTTTTTACTACGGTCGTAGACGGTTACGGTTTACATCGTAGGAATAATAAGTTAACTAATATATTTTTTGTTTTAAACCGACAGACGTGTTTCATTTTAATGTCTATTGCTCTGTCAAAATTACAGACAATACTTGTATTAAGACTATTATACTCTTATTCAAATTTCAAGAATGAAGTCGGCATAGTGTTTATTTCTAACATAGAAAAATCAGGAATCGAACTACCGACTTGTCAGTAACGTGAACGAACGACGCCATTTTTAACATTTTTGTATTATTAGAGCCCTTAGTATTTCAGGCCTATACTAAACGAACTAAACACGCAGTTTTCGAATTAAAACCCCATCTTAAAATTAAACATTCTTCAGTTTCCTTACCTCAATACAAATAAAGTTCACATTCCAATGCGACGCTGGAATCAAACAAAACCGAAGCGATACCACAAAGTCCATGAAACGCGTAAAATTGTAAAAGTTAAACGATTCGAGCCTTTCAAAGAAGCTTAGCAAACATAAACATTTGAGAAAAGTTGTTAATGAAAACCGCAAGCCTTTTGTAACCGCGATCAATATTGTTTTAATATGTTTTCTCTAAGCGTCGAAGAAAATTAGTATTTAGATAAGAGAGCGTAAAGATAAAACTTACATAGATCCCAAAGTGGTTTACTGTTTGCTATAAAATACACTGAAACTAAAAAACTATGAAAAGAAGACGATACAGCGAACCTTCGCTATGCACTTACAATTCTTTTAGAGTCTTGTTTTTAACTATATTCTTTACTAGCTATGTCAACGACTTCGTCCGCGTAGAATAGTTATTTTGGGCATCCAAATTTGTTTTTGCAAACCTCCTCTTCATCTTTATAGATTTGAACGGCTATTCGACATCGACATCGGACGCGTCCCGTCTCTCGCGAGCCGTCGTACGGGTCCCGTCGTTTGTGCAAGTTAATCTTCGAAGATAGAACACTATAATATATAGTGTTAGTACAGTATCATTTTAAAAGAAATCATTCGATCATACATAAATTTTGGCTATCTTGAACCAGATGAAAAATTTTCCCCGTTTTTTTCACATTTCCGCTGCTATTAGTTACAGTGCAATGATTTATAGCGGATTATTAGCCTTCCTCAATAGATATTTTAACTAACCCAAAAATTATGTTTCAATTCAAACCAGTAGTTCCTGAGATTAGCGCGTTCAAACAAACAAACTCTTCAGCTTTATATATTAGTATAGATAAGTTTAGTTCCTAATCTATTACTTTGAATATAATGATATAGTCTAACTAGATTTAAGTACTCGAAGTATCTACGTTGATATAATAAATCCTTATTAAATCTCGGGGAAATTAATAACTAAAATATCGCTAAATTATCACAACCCTATTACATTATTAAAAAGATACACTGCCTTTTGCTTTAAACATTATACTCTATAGAAATGATTAAAAATGCAGATTTACAACTTCACTGCTTTTCCACGGACGCATTCGATGGGTGATAGAAATATTGACGAATCGATATTTCTACCACGTATTTAATATGCATAACACACCAACGTGTTTGAGAAAAAATTTAAATTTATCAAAAAAAAAAAAAAGAAAAAAGAACTCCCTAACGACCGTGACAGTGAAAAAGGAGCTATTTTTAAAAATAGATAAAAACAATCCAAGATTCTGATTATACAATCATGCTAAAATTTCAGCGCAATCGGTGGAGAACTTTTTGAGTTTTTAAGCGTACAAATAAAACATTTTTATATTTATGAATTCATTGCAAAGATAAGTTTATAGATTACTTAGATATGTCTTTTTTCTTTCTCAAATGTCATGTTGTGTTCTACATCCATACTTAATTGCTTTGTCCTCTATTTCTTTAATTAACTTCTTTTTCCTTAACAAAACGTGAACTCACTTAAGAACATAATAAATGTAAAATTATGAGCAGCACTAGCGCAAGAGTTTAAAAATGCAAAGCACTCTTGGTCGTAAAATGAGCGAGGCGTGTGTTGTAAGGATGCACCAATTCCATATTTGCTGCTTTTTAGTAACTTCTTATGCTTACAAAAGAAAACTGTGTCAAAGATTATTAAACCAGATGGCACATATATTATATGTAGCATACAATAAATATTTAGATTGCTTGATCGTATAGTTATACGGTGAAACGTATTGCCTACCATTGCAGAAGAAACATAATGTGTTTTGTAATAATACTGAAAGTGTAACAGACACAAAAGTATGTGTACCTTATGGAACTCGCTGGGAAATATGGACTAATTTTTGTTTTTTACATAAGTCATCAACAAATGATATTCATAAAGCTTTTTATTTCTTAACATTTACATTACATTACAACTTATACTATAGCAAAGTCAAAAAGACGCATTTTTGGCTTTGCTATATTATAAGTTAGATTTCCGATTTTATTATGACATATTTGCAATGTAAATAAGTAAAAAAACTATACGAATGTCATTTATAGTATAAACAATCATTATTACTATTTGCTTTTGAAAACACAGTTAGAAGGCCGGGTGATTAGCACACATAGTCTACCAACCATTTCACCCATTTCCCAATTTCCTCTCACGAAAGACTTAACAACCTTTACAACAACCAATTTAACAATTAACATTAACAACCAACTTAACAACGTTACCTGTGACCTTTAAGACTTCCCTTTTTTTGAAAAATCTAATTATAAGTACTCAACTAACTACCAAAAGTAATAAAACTGTTCTACGCGTATGAATCGATAGTAAACTCCACAGACAATAATGCAAATTAAAAATAGATCAATTACTGACTGTATCTGCAGTATCTGTTTGACGCTCAATCTTTGCAAGTGCATATAACTGGTTCGCGGTTCGAGGGGTTAGTAAATAGAGTACATTTGTAAAGTTATTTAAACTAGCGCCGGCGGCATACGTTCCTGCTTCTGATAGAATTTGCTTTTTATTCATTCCCCAACGAAATTAAGTTTTTCCATTGCTATCGAACTTCACGAGTGTGCGTTAAGTGGAAATGGGACTTCTGTGTTCATTAAATTGGATTTTATCCAAGAATATCTTGCGAATTTTTAATGAAACTAACAGCTCTTTCGTGTCTTATTAAAGCTAACGTCTTTTTGGTTCAGTCACAATTGACATAGAAGACGACAGACACACTTGGGGTTCAATTGAAGGAAGTTAAAAATATTCCAGTCATATAACATCTTAACAAGATGCGCGGTCGATTTAAAAAGGATTTACATATTTGAAAATCTACGGACCTTGATTAAATTCGACGGTTTCATTTGTGGACGGTGATTCGTGTCCCGAGCGGAATTTTAATACTCTTAACACCCAAAACGTACATCAATAACAGTAGTTTTCGTAATAAGGTTTCAAATTATGGGAAAACATAGTATATAATATAATATCATCTGTAGTCTACGCGGTTAGTATCTATTTTAGTAAAACACTTCGATTTTAACGGTTTTAAGTGCGAAATTAATCTTAAACTGCGATGCGACCCCCCTTTAAAAGGTTTTATTCAAAGAGTACTTAATTTTGGTCGGGCAAGTGAGAAGACTCGTGTTGGCCTGTGATTAATAAAGTTGATTAGTAAAACAGGGATACAGAAATATATCAGTATTTGCCCCATATTGGGTAATGAGATTTCATATACTCGGAACAACAACAAAATACTTTTAGTCTCATTTATATCAGCGTATTATAACTTACTAGTTGTGTCAGCGACTTCCTCCGCCTAGAAAAGTTTTTTTGGGCAGCCAAATTTGCCTTTGCAAACCTCTACATCTTTAAAAAAATTGTGCTGCCCACGGCACGGTCGCGTACCGTCGCTCGACTCCTGTCGTTCTTGCAAATTAATCTTAAAAGATAGACATATAGTGTCGCGGACATTTTTTTACATCATTTAAAGAAAAATCATGCCTTTATACAATGTTTCATTTGGGTGTCTTATCACATAGATCTAATTTATAAATTAAAAATGAAACGTACTTATAATAACGATTGTAATTCATTAAAGAGAGGATCGCAAAAAAATTCAAGGCTCTCAAAGGTACTTAAAGTAATCTAAAGCGAGATTAAATCTTCCAGTGAGTTTCAAATGCTTATTCTTTATGTTTATTTATTTATTTATTTATTTATACAAGGCTCACCAACTACATACATAATTAAACTTACAAAATCTATTTCTAAGAATAGTTAATACTACTTATGTATCTAACTTAAAGGTGTGCACAACTTTAACTAAATATATTAAACAAAGATTAAAAAAAGAGAGTTTTTTACATAACAATTAAAACTACAGATTAGGTAGACATTAAATAAGAATAAAACAACTAATTAAAATTTATGGATGGTAAGATTTCTAAAACTTTTTTCTTGAACATATTTGAGTTGACGAATAAATCTAATTGATCTAATTTAAAAACACAGTTGTACAATTTACACATTGCCTGAATGGGTGAATTTAAACCATAGTTATTTTTACAATGTTTTATGTGCAGAGGACTAAAGGTAATAATTCTACAATTAAAGGATGGGACGCAGATTCCGATATGTTGTAGAAGAGATGTTTACAAGTTATAATTAAATAAATTTTAATACGTATGTTTATGTGACTGTTAATGAAATAATACCAACAAACATATAATAATACATTTACTTAGTAATAATTCCCATAGCTGGGATTCGGAACTCGCGCTTGTCTTGTAAAGACCCATACTACAACTGATGCTGGAATCAAACTCCCATTCATCGATTTGGTTTTCATTATTCGTCGTTCGTTCTATTATATTTAAGTAATCTGAAGTATACGCGAGTAGTCCACACTTAAATAAAACATACTTAACCGTTTAAAACGCGAAATATATAAGTTGACTTGTTTAGAATTTCTTTTGACTACGGCCCGAAATTTCGGTGGTAACGGGGGGACAAAACGGGGAGTCAAGTAAATAACAAATATATTGCGCGTTTTAAACCGTTAAAGGTGATATACATATTCTTCTATTTGTTATTGAGCATTCCATTAGAGCACAGGCTTTGGATTAATTAAAGCAATTAGATTATACAAAGCAGGTTAATTGAGAAAATTAAGAGATCATTGAGTTATTTCAGTTAATCAATTATATATGTAACGCGGATAAGCGATTATGTGTGTGTGATGTTATATCATGTTTTAACCTTTTTGGGGCTGGGGACAAATTCATATTTGTATCTCTTAATATAGGACTTCCGGAATGCACAAACTGAACTGAATAAACGCCATCTTTTTTTTCTGATAACATCTGACTTGTTCAAATTATCTGTACAACTGTTTTAATATTCAAATTTCCAGACCACCACGTGTTTCAGAATAATTGTAAATTCAATAATACAAAACACGTTGGAGCTAGAGTCAATCGAACCCACAGCCCGTTGATTGTTAGCCATGCAAGTCTTTCAAATTATATAGTTTAATTCATCAATGTTAAAAATAAACGCTAAGAAATTATAGCAGACAAGAAGGAAACACTAAATGATATTAATTAGGGCGCCGACGTCGAGAGACCACAATTTCTCTGCATTTTCATACAGAAGTCTGCACTTTGGAATTGTTAACAATTCGCAAGCAGAAGACGCGATTTGCGCAACGATATTAAATTACGACGAAGTGGAAATGAAAAGTGTATGGGCACATCGTCTTGGAAAAGTTTATCGGGTTAGCGGAAAATATGTGACGCTGCAAATAATATTGGCACAACAGTCTCCTTTTTGGGAAAAATCACAAATACTGTGTAGATTACGCGAGTAGTACACATTCAGATAAAACACTTTAACGGTTAAAAATACGATATATTTTGGTTAAACCTTTTTGAGAATTATGTTTAACTACGGCCCCACATTTTGGATGCTTTGCAGCGGGGAGACAATAAAAATATTTTTTTAAAAAAGTTTAACAAAATTGTTTTTATGCTGATTTCTACTATTCTGTAGAAAATACAACTACACCAAAAAATATACCAATTTTCTGCTATGGATATTATGAAATTGAGAAATTTTCCCCTTTATACAGAAGAAAAATATTGTTTTTTTTTTAATTAGTGTTAAATTGGTAATATCTAGTAATATAATCACAATTCGATTTTTAACCGACTTCAAAAAAGGAAGCAAACTCAATATTATATTCTTTGTTAGCTATTCAAATGTCTATCGCGAAAGCACTCTTATAATGCGGAATAGGTACACTACTCAACAATGTGATGAGAATCATATAAATGGTACTAAGAAGAAAATTTTAGGATAAAATTTCATTTATTAATTTACAATACAATACAAATATTCTTTATTGTTACAAAACAACAAAAAAATAAAATGTGATGGAAATTAAGGACAAACGGCGAATTTAACCACTATTGTCACAAATTTGGAAAAATGATTCATTATTATGGGTTTCCAAGACATACGGTACAAAAACGGTTCAAGATACCCAAAAATCATGTTTTATACATGAATAGAATGACTCCTCTTTAAATGATCTATGAAAAATTCCGCGACGCTATATATCTATAAACGACGGGAAGGGACGCGACTGACGTAGTGGGTAATAGCTTAAATTTATAAAGATAAAGGGGTTTGCAAAAATGGATTTGGATCCCCAAAATAACTACTCTATGCGAACGAAGTCGCTGACGCAGCTAGTGTATTAAGGAAAACGCCGTCCACAAATTACATACACCAAGTTCTTAACTAGTGAAAATAATATTGTTCGTATTACATTAATAACAATTTCAAAATCACTCGTATAAAACAATAGAGAAGAATAAAGAATTCCTTATACGTTGTCGCATAGCCTTAAAGAATACACAATTGAAACAATCCCTTTTCAGACCGGGAACAACTTGATTTGTGCGGGCGTCTCTTGAGAAATTAACATTTTCCCTTTCCGATGAAACAACCGTGTGTAATAACAATGTGCGCGTTGAGTAATTTCTTTGAATCGATCTTACGGTGATGTGCTGACCTCTTTGGTTCAATGGTCGAGTGTGGATGTTATTGACGGCCTCGTTGAGCTTTTATCCCACATCACCTTTTAACTGATGGTATGAATGATGTACACCCACTTTAGAATGTTGTAAATCAGATACTGTTTATAGTTTACGCGAGTAGTACACATTTAAATAAAACACTTTAACGGTTTAAAACGCGGGGAGACATGTCTCCCCGTGACCATGGCTGCTGCAAAGCATCCGAAACGTCGGGCCGAAGTTAAAAATCATTTTCAAATAAGTTTAACTAATATATCGCGTTTTAAACCGTTAAAGTGTTTTATTTAAATGTTGTAAATCGCTAATAACTATAACTGCTTACAGGAGTAGCTATCCGCCTTTAACTGACAGTAAGTTATTGGGACGGGCCGTTAACACTTCGTTTGAAAACTTTAATATTTTTCACATGTCAAATCGAAAGTAAGTTGCTCTTTATTTAAATTTTAATCACTATTCATCTTTCGTGTTGGACCGGCAAGTGCTAATTCTAGTGAAGACCAGAGTTTACCAGAATCATATATTATCATAATTTGTCTTAGTATTATTATTTATGTTTATTTTTTTTTATTTGTTTTGTGCGACTTAATAATCGATTTTACTATCATTATGACCACTAAACACACTACCAGCTACGGTGCTTTCTAGGAAGCCAATGTTTATTTAAAACATGGTGAAATTAGAGAAAATCTTGATGGTGAGCACAACGTCGCCTCATCGAAGTCCAATATAACCCTAGCATTAGAGCGAACCACTTAATCCACCCACCTAGCAGGATATTCTTCAGCTATGCCAGATTTTTCTAAGACTTATGACTGAGGGGTGAAAACTGTTCGATTCTGACCTTCATGACCTTTTACTTTGCCTAGTTTATAATAAAATCTGTTATTGTCTATTACAATTTGACCTATAAACCATTATCACTCATTAATTGGATTTAAACAGGAACTGATAAGGGGAAGAACTTGCTTTCACTGATTAGATAAAAAGAAATAGAATATTTAACGTTTATATCTAGATTTAAATTATGTCAGTAGTTAAGGGATTAGTATAACATTTCCTTTTAACCAACACTTAGTACATTTGAATACGTCAATATACATATGTCACATATTATTGCACATGTGACGTTATATAATTTAAAACTCTAATTCGAATGAAAAAAAAAATGGTTGACACCATAGTTCATAATTCTTAACTTTTAATATAACGTTTTGAACAGTCATATGCAGGAAAAAAAACTATATTACTTAATTATTGATTAAAGAAATTTAATTAAGAATGTAAGAATTTGCACGCGAAATAATATTCCCTACAATACATTTATATGTGTAAACAACAACGCGAGTCAAGACATTGTAAACATACAAAACTAGCTGCGCCAGCGACTTCGTCCGCGTAGATTAATTATATTGGGCACCAATTTGTTTTTGCAAACCTCCTCCTTATCTTTATGAATTTAAGCTGTTAGTCAAATTTTCTATCGCGTCCTGTGGTTCTTGCAAGTAATCCTAAAAGATTGATATATAGTGTCGTGGATATTCTTTCAGATTCTTTAAAGAGGAATAATTCAAATTTAGCAAGAAGATGACTAATTTTCCCCCCGTTTTTGTCATATTTCCCGTTATTTCTTCGCTCCCGTTAATTTTTCAATACTAATACAGTAGTTCCTGAGATTAGTGCGTTCAAACATACAAATAAACAAACTTCTCGGCCTTATATTTAAATGTTGAGAAATTGCCGGGTAGACACTTTAACACGAAAATACCTTATCAATAAACTTTATAGCCTTCTATATTAATAAAGGAGTTGTTACAGTTTTAGAACTTTACATTATTAATAATCTGATTATCTTGTCCCTATTTGTATTTAATAAAACGTGAACGATAAAAAATTAAATAAATCCCCCACAATTATAGCTATTTATAAGATAAACATAAGGATGTCTCCATAGCCAAATTGTTATACACGTTGCGTAATTGGCAGACATCTTGAGTTCCGATCCCGGGGAAAAGCTATAAAAGTTGGACAGAGGCACACACGTCTTAAGAGTTATTTTCGTGTAAATAAACTCGTAAATGTGCTCTTTGGCCCTGTTGTCCCAATTTTAGTTAAATTGGGACAACAATTTTATTACAATTTAATTATTTACCTTATGGAATTACCTACGTGACTGAAAAGTTAACAAATAGTATGTAAAGTTACTACTTTACTTACTATTTGGTAGTGTCATTATAGTAAAAACAGATTAGACGCTTGTCATTATAAGTGTAAAGGACACATAAATGTGTCTGAATTTTATTCAAAATATTATTTTTATTCTCTTCTAGACCTATAACTTTTTATGATTCATCGTCGTTGACACAGTTTCAGAGTGATAAATTAATTATTACAATGTTTGATAGGATTTTATCTATCGTATAAATATGCTGCAATTTACCTCCACAATATGTCTACTGAAAGTGAACGAAATAAAATAACAATGAAGGTTGTAGCAATCGCCGTTCTGTTAGCCACCTTTGTGTGCATTACACAGGCTTTCCCTTTACGTAAGTAGTTATGTATAAAAAAATGCATATAGGAAAAATTTAAATTATGGATCATGTTTTTTTCTTAAAATGTTTATATCGTACATAGGATCTTAAACATTAAAAAAAATGTAAAGTCGAATTTTTTGTCGAAACGCTAGACGTATATACATTAAAGAATGGCTCACCTCCACTTTGACTATCCACTGCCTACAGTGCACCTTACACTGTAGGTTCGAATCCCTATCATCGTTAATAATTTTAGACTTAAAAAATGTTTTTCCCTATTTATAATTTATTACAAAATAGAGGAGATATACTCTTTGGATCAGGGCAATTAAATTTAAATAAAACACTTTAACGGTATAAAACACGATATATATTAGATAAGCTTTCCGATACGCCGGGGAGTAGTTAAATAGTTTTCAAATAATATATCTCGCGTTATAAACCGTTAAAGTGTTTTTGTATGTGTACTACTCACGTAAACTGCAGACAGTATTTATGATAATTAAAGCCAAAATTATTTCTTACGCTTTCTTAATGTTTACAGAAGAGGACCCAGTGCTGGCTGGTTTCCCAGAAGAATACGCTGAACCTCTTAATCCCATCGAGGTGTTCAACGAAGCTTTACAGCGCAGCTGTGTTCCGCTGTATTGCCACAACAGCTGTGTCAGGCTTGGGTTCTATACTGGAAGTTGCAGAAGTTCGCGCTGCTATTGCAGACATAGAAATTAAAGTATTCATGTTCTGATACATTAAGCGACCTTAGTTTTACTAATAAATTTATATTTAAGATTTTTTTGTACTACTAAATGATAAAAACCTTTGTAATGACGTGTAAAATAGTTTTTTTAATAAAAATATAGATTTAAAAGTGTTTTCTCTTGTTTATGTTATATAGATCTTACAAATATTTCAAGAAGATTATTATAAATCCGGCCTTACGCACAGATGTAAATAAGAAACACAAAAATAATAATAACAATTTGTGGGGCACATTATTTCTAATTACTAGATCAGTAATTTATCATTGTGTATAGTTTATATAACTTATGTTTTGTCTTTACTTTACGCGAGTTGCACATATTAAAAAAAACACTTGTGTGATGGCATCGCGCCGTATTTCAATTTAATCTATACTAATATATAAAGCTAAAGAGTTTGTTTGTTTATTTGAACGTGCAAATCTCAAGAACTACGGATTCGAATGGTACGTCGAGGCTATAGGCTATAAAACAATGTGATGTGGCTAATGGAAGCAAAGATACAGCAGGAATTGTGAAGAAAACGGGAAAAAAATTCATCTCTGTGGGTGTCAGATGCGGACACTGCGAAAACGGTTTAAGACAGCCGATGTTGAGGGCAGCTTAAATTTATAAAAATTTAGAGGTTTGCAAAAACAAATTAGATACCAAAAAAAACTTCTACGCGGACAAAGTCGCTGACTCAGCTAGTATGAAATAAATCGTACGTTTCGCGTTTTTAACATTTAAAAGTGTTTTATTAAAATCTTTACGACTTTTTATATTAATCTCTTTTTGAAAATCAACAAATCAACAACAAAATATATTTCAATGAAATATGTGTTTTCCTATATGTACATGACGAATTATATTGTCTTATATTAAAATTCTATTTGACAATCATTATAATTTATTTTCAAGCATTTATTTATTCTTCATTATGGTGTTTCAAAGTTAATCTGAAATGATACTGAAGTCTATAAAATTAGGATTTTAAAAGAAATGAGATTTTTAATAGCACAACTACATGAATAGGCTTTATTGTAGATAGAAAATAATCTTTGAGTAAAGAATCAGGTACTAACAAAATAAAAATGTGCAAGTGTATGGTTTTATGATTGCTTCAAAATTACAGTGTTTAAAGTATAATGTTTAAATGACATTTTTTTTTTAACTGTAATTAGATCAATTATATGATGATATTATAAAGTAACTGCATCCAGTTGTGAAACCTTAGATTATATTATATATTCAGGTATGAATAGAAAAACTTTTTTTTAAATTTTAACATTTATTTTGAAACAACTAGTTAAACAAATAAAAAAAGCTTATATTAGATTAATTCCTGCATTGGCATATTCTCTGCGGTGTGCACCTAGCCCAGCGGAACCCGAGCGAACCGCAAACGGCGCGGCAAAGTTGTATGGTGCAAATGCGTTGGCGGGATCGACTTGCGCCTGCGCCGAATAGCTCGATTGCTTCCGAACTCTCCGTGGCAGTCACCACTGCGCCGGTGGGAACTTCCAATTCATCTAAAAAAAGTAAATTAACATTCGCAATAAAAAAGACATAAACTGACATAATAATTAGTAATATCACTTTACTTTATACTATTCGATTGTATGATGTTACTATATAGAAAACAAAAGGGTAAATAATACACTGCTTACCAGCTGGGGCACCATGCGCAAGCGCAACCAATGCGAAGACGAAGAGAGCAAACAATGTAAATTTCATGTTGATGTTTAGTTGTTTTGGTAATATACTGAAATACGTTTTTCAATTGTTGATATTTTTACATCGCGCTGGCTATTTATATGCAAATCGAATGGAATTATCTTATTATGATAACAAACTTTCAAAGGATTACTTTTTACGACTACAAATTGTTTTGAAATTCGCTATTGGTAATCTTTCTTTATTGAGGACAAACCATTTTATAAGATTTTGAATGATAATTTTAACAATATTTAATTAGAAGGATGAGGTTTTCTGGAGAAGGGAAGATGATATCGTTTAACGACAGCCGAAAAGCTTTATTACCCAAGAAGCTTTGCAAAATGGCCACAAAAGTTATTGTGTATGTTTTTCTTCTTTATGATGAACCATATAAAATATATAAAACACGCTTGATATTGGTTTGATTTAAACAGCAAGTGTTATGTACAAACACATACACAGTACCTACAAAATGAGAACCACTAAAGCTTCTGAACCTAAGTTCGAATCCCCGGAAGACATAATTCTTTCGTTCATATCACGGCTCAGAACACCAGTAAATAAATAAAGAAAAAAGACCTTTATTTGTGTATTTTGTTACTTTTTAAGTTAAATGCTAATTTTGCTAAAAGCTATTAACTTAATTTGTAAACAAATACATTTTGCGTTTTAAACTGTTAAAAGTGTTATTTTTTTTAATTTGTACTACTCGTGTAAACTAACGACTGAATAAAAACATTATAAATAAATAGATGATTTTGGCGGGTCTAGGACCCAATATTAAATTTAATATTTAGTCATCTTTCATAGATTCTTTTTTTTTTGCGTACTAAATATTAATAAGATATCGTCAATATGAATTGAGGCTTTACATACCTACTTCGGTTCTTCCCGGTAAGTCGAAGTTGATAAATTAAGTGTCGCCTAAGTACTGGACATGCTTGATTAGATTTTATCAAAACATATAAATACGATGATGTGTTCTTTAAGGATATACTCCTAACTGAATTTTGAAAGTAAACCAGTAAACGATCACCTTTTGAATCAATCATGAAGGTTGTTGGAATCGCCGTTTTATTAGCAGCCTTAGTATGCCTTACACAGGCTTCTCCCGTTGGTAAGTATATATTAACCTTCTTATTACATCAACCTATTAATGACCCACAGATCCTACTGTACAGTCCTACTCTAGTATGGGATGTTCTTCCAGTATTAGTTAGTGGGGTTTAACCGCTAAATCATGATCAGATTACTTTCACTAAATCCAACTACCAAAGTTCTACTATCACTATCGGACTATCCGGGATCTTTATCCAGACCTTCTGATATGCGGTCGAGTGCACTAACCAGAAGTTAATTTCTCATAATGAAATATATTTATTTAGAATATTTATTTTAAAAAAATCGGAATCTCTAAACTTCTTATCTTTAAAAAAAATATTTAAATTCTGACTTGTAGAGAGACCTTTATTTTTTAATTTACTGCTAAAAACTCCAAGTTTAAATCAGTTCAATACCGATAAAACTCTAATGATTCCCAACAAAAGCACAAATAAAAATGCAGCATTATTTAAATTCACTTTCTTATAATTCAGAAGAGCCTGAAGTAGAAGTACCAGCTGCCCTCCTCCAAGACGACTACGTAGACCCAACGGAATCAATGGAGATGCTAAACGGATCCCGCCAACGCATCTGCACAGCCGCCCTCTGCCACAACGTGTGCAGAAGTCTCGGATGGAGAACTGGAAGCTGCAACTCCCAACTCTTATGCATCTGCAGACGTTGAAGATGACATTACATCGACACCAATATTAATCCTATTTATGATTAATTTTAAGCAATTAAAACGTTTATGCCTATTTTTGTTTTTTGTATTTCCCACACACCAATCATTAGAACTGACATGTCGAATCGAAGATTTATAGACGGTACGATAAGTGATTAGAATTAAATAACTCCTCAAGTCAGCAATGATGTATATCAAAAGAATTTAAATCGATCTTTAACTGCTCTACATTTACTAAGAGTGCTAAAAAATGATATTCTTATGTTAGTTTTTTAAAAAATATTATCTACTTATTAATAATACAGAAATTGTTCTTCATCTAGTACACTTTTTACAATATAATTAAGAAACGTCTCTATAGTGACAAGTAAAATAGTTTTAATAAAATTATAATTCAAAAGCTCTTTTTTTGATATATGTAGATCTTACAAATAATCTAAGAAGATTGTTATACAGAAATCTAATTTCGACTTAACGTAAAAATATTAAAAATAAGCACAAATAAATAATAAATAATTTTGTGGGCACTTTATGACTTATTTATAATATAAATTATATACCTACTTAGAAATGCTTATGAGAATCTTTAGTTTAGTTGCGTACTTGCATCGGGCCGTATTCAATTTTAATTTGAAATAAGTTAACTAAGATTTTTTCCATTTAAAAGAGTTAAAAGTGTTTTATTTGAATGTTTATAAATTATTTGTATTATCCATTATGAAAAATCAAATAAAAATAATATATTTAAATTTAATATATTTTCCTATTCATTAAGACGAATTATATACATATTTTGACTATCATCATAATTAATTAAAAGTCGATTAAAATTAAAAAAGTACGACTCGGGCAGGACTTAAACTGGCATCTAGAATAGTCCGTGTTAATGCTCAAACTAATTGAGCTACCGAGGCAAAACTCGAGTTCTTTCAAAAATCGATTTTTAATTTATACAATAACATGAAACAAATATTAAAAGTTTTCAAATATGTTTATTAGTTACCAACGTTTATTTATTACGCATTATTATAAAAAGTTTTAACGTTAATCTAAAATGTTATTGAAGTCTTTAAACTAATGATTTTGAATGTAGTGAGATTATTGATCGGAAGACTATATTGTCCCTAAATACTGTCTATAGTTTACGCGAGTAGTACACATTTAAATAAAACACTTTAACGGTTTAAAACGCGATATAACCTCGGGCCGAAGTTAAAAATCATTTTCAAATAAGTTTAACTAATATATCGCGTTTTAAACCGTTAAAGTGTTTTATTTAAATATATTGTGCCTACTTGCAAATCGCAAGTAGTCACTATATTTTATCATTGTTTGTACTCACAACCTCCATATTAATATCGTAATCAAAACATAAGTATAACATATTCTCTTTTCATTTTTGAATTGTTTGACCCAAATTAATATATATTCCAAGACTCACTGGGAGTTAGACACCAAGTGCACACTATCGTTTGTATCGACTAGGTTTCTACAAATATAACTAATGACAAATATTCCGCCTAAATTTATTCACTGAATAACCTCGCACCGCAAAGCAATAAGGCAAAATTTCTTGGAAATTAGTAGATTTGAATGCAAAATCATAGTGTTTAAAGTATAATAATAATAATGTATCAATTACTTTTTTATTTTAATTTAAAAGTGTAATTAGATCAATTATAAGATTATATAATACATTCAGGTATGAATAGAAAACCTTTTTTTATCATTGTAACATTTATTTTAACACAACTCATTAAACGAATAAAAAAAGCTTATATTAGATTAATTCCTGCATTGGCATATTCTCTGCGGTGTGCACCTAGCCCAGCGGAACCCGAGCGAACCGCAAACGGCGCGGCAAAGTTGTATGGTGCAAATGCGTTGGCGGGATCGACTTGCGCCTGCGCCGAATAGCTCGATCGCTTCGGAACTCTCTGTGGCAGTCACCACTACACCGGTGGGAACTTCCAATTCATCTGAAAAAAATGTTTTGTTATTTAAAAATCGAAAATAAATTTAAAAAATTTTTTCGCTCGGGCAGGACTTGAACCGACATCGTCAGCTTTTTTTTTCCACCCCGGTGCCCAATTTGTTAAAAAAAAAAACGGAAAACCGGCGGCCCCGGGGCTTAGTCCTGCGGGTCAATTTTTTCTTTATTTTCGATTTTTAAATTATATAGTGCCTTGGCACGGTTTAATGTTTTGTTTTAAAAAAGTAAACATTTTTTAAAAACTCCACTTTCTTCATTTTTTACTTGAGCATAAAATATTTTATACTATTCCAATGTTAGTATATAGGAAACAAAAATATTAAAAATACACCACATACCTGCTGGGGCACCATGCGCAAGCGCAACGAATGCGATGACAAAGAGAGCAAACAATGTGAATTTCATGTTGATGTTTAGTTTCTTTAGTATTATACTGAAATATGTTTTTCAATTGTTGATGTTTTTACATCGCGCTGGCTATTTATAAGCAAATCGAACGGACTTATCTTATTAAGATAACAAACTTTCAAAGGATTACTTTTACAACTACAAAATGTTTTGAAATTTGCTATTGGTAATCTTTCTTTATTGAAAAGCAAAAATTTCAAAAGATTTTTAAATAATAATTTAAATTTGACTTCTACGGAAGCAAAGATGACATCATTTACGACAACCGAACAGCTCCGAAGAAGCTTTTTAAAATAGTCGTGAAAGCCTTTTACAAGTTCTACGTTTTTCTTCTTTATGATAAAATATGGTGATTCAAAGCGTCGGATCTTCGGGTTTGATTTTGAATTTGATTAAAAGTGTAAGTGCTTCTATAAACCTTCACAGTACCCATAGAGTGAAAATGACTAAACCTTATGAACTCTAAGTTCGACTCCCTGAAAAATATAAGTAATTAACTCGTGCACTTAACGGCACTGAACACAAAAAAATAACCTTTATTCACATGTTTTGTTTACATTACATCCAACTAATTCGAGCGAATATATTTTGCGTTTTTAACCGTTAAAAGTGTTTTATTTAAATCTGTACAGTTTGTGTAAACTACAGACAGAATTTAAAAAAATAGAAATAAGTAAATGATTTTGACGCGACTAGAACCTACAAATAAACATTAAGTTTTTATAAAATTCAATATTTAGTAATCTTTCATAGATCCTGTTATTAATTTTTTTGCGGATTAAATACTAATAAGATATCGTCAATATGAATTGAGGCTTTTTGTTCCTACTTCGGTTCTTCCCGGTAAGTCGAAGTTGATAAATTAAGTGTCGCCTAAGTACTGGACATGCTTGATTAGATTTTATCAAAACATATAAATACGATGATGTGCTCTTTAAGGATATACTCCAAACAGAACTTTAAAAAGTAAACCATCATATTTCACCTTTTGAATCAATCATGAATGTTGTAGGAATCGCCGTTTTATTAGCAGCTTTTGTGTGCCTTACACAGGCTTCTCCCATTGGTAAGTATGCATTAACCTTTCTTATTACATCAACCTATTAATGTCCCGCAGATGTGTACAGTCCTACTCTCGTTGAGGACGTTCCAGTGTGAGTTTGTTAGGTTTAGCCACGGTCTTCTAAGGTATGTGAGATAAAGTTCTGTAATTTTACGTCCGGGATTTCAAACCAGAATATTTAATACGCGGTCAAGTGCACGAACCATTAGACAAACGAGATTGTTAAATTCTCACGATTACTCCCATTTTATGTAAAATATTTAGATTTATTTATGTAAAAAAATCTCAATCACAATTTTTTTTTTATATTTAATTTTAACCTGTACAGTTTTACCTTTATTGCTAGAAACATCTCGATTTCTTGCATCAGTTAAGTACATATAAAATTTAAATAATTTCCAGTAACATACACAAACCTAAATGCAGAATTATTTTAATCACTTTCATATAATTCAGAAGAGCCTGAAGTAGAAGCACCAGCTGCTTTCCTCCAAGACGAATACGTAGACCCAATGGAATCAATGGAGATGCTAAACGGATCCCGCCAACGCATCTGCACAGCCGCCCTCTGCCACAACGTCTGCAGAAGTCTCGGATGGAGAACTGGAAGCTGCAACTCCCAACTCTTATGCATCTGCAGACGTTGAAGATGACATAAGTTATATCGACACCGATGTCAATCCTGGTTATAAGTATTTTAAAGCAATAAAAACATTTAGGCCTATATTATAGTTTGTATTTCCCGCACGACGTTACGATAAGAGATTAAAATTAAATCACTCCTAAGTTCAGTAATGACAATTTGAATCTTAAACTGCTCTACTTTTACTAACACTTCTCAAATAATGGGTCTATAGTCTATAATCTATACCACCCTATGCTGAAAAGGTATTTTTTTTAAATTATATTTTGAAATCTACAGTATAATACTAATTTTTTTCTTAATAAGGACCCAACGTTTGGTGTTTTAATTGTTAAGTTGTAAAAGGACACTTTTTTGAAATGTTAGAAATACAGAAATTCCGTCTGGGTCACAAACCACCCACACATGAAAAAGTCGTGATGTTTAATCGCTTCGGTTTCATTCTGTTGTCCGATTATCCAAAGCTATAAATAGATCGATTGTAAAGAATAAAGATAGTTTTACTTCGAATCATTATAATTGGTAAAGCATATAAATCCATATGGATTACTAACCATATACAAGTCTATTTGAAAATTACTACTACGTACTACTTTAAACTACTTGAACTGAAATATTTCGTGCTCACACAACGAACTAACTCAAATAGATAAGCAGAAACAAATGACCATCAACATAATATCGTATAATTTGATGTGCATTAAATTTACCTAAAATTAGGATACCTTTATTGCTGATAAGATAAGACGAAAATAGAAATAATAACATTATTTTTATGACAAAATATTGCAACAGACTATCTATATATCAGATAAAAATGGCAATATAATTTGATAAAGACTAGACCTATATAAATAAAATCCTTTTAAGGGTTTAAAACGCGAAATATATCAGTGAACTTATTTTTTTGTTTGTTTTAATTACGACCCGTCGCTTCGGTTGCTTTAAAGCGGCCGTGGTCGCATGTCACGTGCTTACGCGATGTATATTTCGCGTTTTAAACCGTTGAAAGTGGTTTATTATCCATACTTAAGGATAAGGCCTTTTTCTTGTTTTTTTCGTTTGTGTTCCTACCTATTATTTAGGCATACGGCTATACGGCATTTACATATTTTTTTCACATTTGGCTCGGCCTACAGTACCCCAAAAATACTGAATCATTTTAGATCTACTCATGAGCTTTAACGTTGTAAAATATAATTAATTACTTTCTTAAATACTGTCTATAGTTTACGCGAGTAGTGCACATTTAAATACACACTTTAACGATTTAAAACGCCATATATTAGTTAAACTTAAGTATCCATGTGACCACGGCTGCTGCAAAGCATCCGAAACGTCGGGCCGAAGTTCAGAAAATCATTTTTAAATAAGTTTAGCCAATATATCGCGTTTTAAACCGTTGTTAAAGTTAAAGTGTTTTATTAAAATTTTCTTAAGTTTTTTCCAACGTGTAATTTTAATTGTTATCTTTTGTTTGTCATTTTCATCCGCTCTCAGTTGATTTGAGCTGGTTGCATTGAAGATAACTGCTTTCGAGTACAGTACGAGTGTATATAGTGGGAATATATTCAGCCAAGACTTGCTCAGTAGAACGTTGATTTTTATAGCTCTTCCGGCATACATCAAGGAGTCGAACACTCATTCACTATGAAATAGAGACCTACCTCACCTCAGCCGCAGATAAAGCGAACAGCAACATTCGAGTTGCGAATAATTTCATATCGTCAGCTCTATTCGCCCGATATCATCATTACAATGGGAGGGAATTTTTTCATAGCAGACAAAGAGCACGGCTGGCTTCACACGATCTATCATTAAGAGCGATTATGCGCTGTATTGTTGCTTTCTTCACATTCATAGCAGGTGGCCCATTGTTTTTTATACTCTTTCAAACAATCTGCCAAGAATGCCCGCACCTTTGTTCCGAATATGGGCTGGATTTTGTTCTTAGGGCGGGCGTTTGAGATATCCTTTATTTGTGTACGGCCACTTAATTAAGTTTATTCGGGCGCTGGGTAATGTTCTTTATAAAAATTTAAGGTTTAAAAGATATATTATTAAATTATTTGAAAATGATTTTTAATTCGGCCCGACGTTTCGGATGCTTTGCACAGCCGTGGTAGGAGACTAAAGATGGAGGATGTCTCTGACGTCAAAGTAAAAAATTGCTACGCTAGTTTAATAAGTTTAACTAATATATGGTTTTAAACTTAAACTGTTTTATTTAAATGTGTACTACTCGTAAATATAGAAGTATTTAATGTTCTTTTGATAAGGTACGTATTAAAGAACTCATTTTGACGGTCTCGCTAGTCTAAACGTTTGTATGGCTAATAACCAACGGGCCAAGGATCGATTCGCGCCGGGTTTTCTAATCAATGTATTATTTTGTAACATGTTGGACTTCATCTGGTAATTGGTGGTTTAGAATCCGGATCACGAACCACCGTCCACAAATGAAAAAGTCGCGGAGTTGAATCACACTACGATTTCAATCTGTGGATTCCGCATATTTAAACCCAAAAATAGGTCTATCTGACATCCTCTATTATAAAAAACATACCTATTATAATAAAGAAACTATGCGAACCAAAATACGAAATTAAAACGTACATTACAGATCCAGGTCTCAAAATAATTAAACTTAATATTAATACAATTAGAGAATACTTTGACACTTAGTACCTAAATTACAAGAGACATAATCGAGTTGTATATAAATAACTTGCTGTGTCAGCGACTTCGTTCGCATAGGATAGTCATTTTGGGCATCCAAATTTGTTTTTGCAAAGTCTAAATCATTATAAAAAGTGCCCACGAATGGTCGCGTTCTTCCTCCGACGTCATTCGGGTTCCGTCGTTCTTCAATAATCTAAAATAATATATACCGGGATTTTTTCAGCTCATTAGAGAGGAATCATTCTTCAAAATATTTTTAGGGTGTCTTGAACTGTGTCGCAGTAATCTGAAACACAGAGAGAAAAATTCCCAACTGTTCACATTTCCCGCTGTATCTTGGCTTCTATTAGTCACAGCGCGATATCAATCAAAGTAGTTCCTGAGATAGTGCGTTCAAACAAAAATAATACAAACTCTTCAGTTTTATATAGATAATGTTCAGCTAAGAAAATTAAAAAAAGTGTTCATATTCTCTACACCGAACACTTGATTTGTTTTGCAGCAACAGCTCCTCGTGGAAAGTTAAAATAAATTGTAATCGATAAAACAGAGTTCAAATTATTGTTACTACATCTCAAATGAATGTAAGCCATGCATTGTAGGAACAATTGATTAAATGGAATTGACCAAGAATCATACGTATTTAATAAATCATATGTGAAAGCGTGTAAATGTATACATATACCGTGTATAATTCATGAATTCTATGTACATAATCTACTGACTTTTGAATGTAAACATTATAAAATCAAACATATCCAGTTATTGAAAATTGTAAACACGGATTAACCTCCATTATCTGGATGTATTTGTGTTTGAATTATCACCGTTAAATTTATGCGAAATTATATGAAACACCCGAAAATGTAAACTAAAAGACAAAATTATATAAACGGTTACTTTAAAACTCAGGAACATTAAATAAAAATATTTGATTCAATTTAATATAATTTATTCTTCGCAACCAATATAAAGTAAAATTAACTTAACTTAAGGTGTTAAAAGCACTATTTTAATTTTACAGTTTTAATAAACTAAAATTAACAATACAATTAAAATCATAATACATAGACACTTTAAAAATTAAAATATGTATTCATAGTGTATTGTATTCATTAAAGAAATGTAAAAAAAGGAAAAATAGGTAGAGATTATTTCCTACATTGGCATATTCCCTGTGGTGTGCACCTTGCCCAGCCGTACCCGAGCGAAGCACAAACGGCGAAACAACGTGGTATGGTGCAACGTTGGCGGGATCGACTTGCGCTAGCGCCGAATAGCTCGATCGCTTCGGAACTCTCGGTGGCCGTCACCAATGCACCAGTGGGAACTTCCAATTCATCTAAAACGATATGTTAATATAAAATGAAAATTATAAACATCATAACAAACGGAATTAAAACTCAATAAAATTAAAAATATATTCAATATCATTTGAGAATAAAAATAAATAATAAAGAAAAAAGTTGTTACTAAATTATTTACGTACGTGCAGGAGCGCCTTGCGCAAGCGCAATAATCACGACGACAAAGAGAGCAAGCAATGTGAATTTCATTTTTATGATTAATTTATCTTTAGTATTGTAATATGGAAACACTTTTTCAATTGTTGATGTTAATACACTTCACTTGCTTTTTATATGCAATAATTGGGGTACTTTATCTCAATTAGATAACGTGGCTTTCTAAGGATTACGTTTTCCACTTTCATATGTAATGATTCACCGCACTCATCAAAGATTTTGTTAATAAATGGCTTATGAAATGAGCCAAAGAAAATAATGCGTTTGTTTTTATATTGTTTTATAAGTAGTTCAAAGATTTTTTTGATTCAAAAGGATTATTTCCTTCATTTTGTTCTTCATCTGAACTTGCTCTTTTAAAGTGATTGTTGCTTCATCATCATGCTCATAGAATGACAGCGGATCTTGTTTAGGTATTATATAGCGAGGATATATCACCTACCGTCAAGAGAACTCCGTTATTGCCCGTCGCCCCTCTATATAATATATAATTTTCTGAACATTGTGGTAATATTATAACACAAAATTTCTTATGCCGACTTTGTCTCTAAAGATTAAATACTGCCTTTTTATATGCGAGTAGTACACATTTAAATAAAACACTTTAACGGTTTAAAACGCGATATATAGTAGTTAAAGTTATTTGAAAATTATTTTAACTACGGCCCGATGTTTTGGATGCTTTGGGTGGTCACTTCTGTAAAGCATATCGCGTTTTAAACCGTTAAAGTGTTTTATTTAAATCTCTAAAGGTTGTCTGGACCAACTCAACTAAATTGTTTGACATAATGTCTATTCTTAGTTCTTATATTAATATTAACTAATCAACATAAGTAGACTTAAATAATATAATTTATCGAGCTACTCTATGTCATTGATCAATGCATTTCGGTAGTGTACCTAATTGTTATCGGATTAGTAATACGCGGGAGTTATTCCCCGCACTAAATTGGATCTTGCTAATAATAAATCAATATTTATTATGACTGTAAACCGCAAATACTCTTGAGAAGGTATTTTGATAGATATTTTGTATGCAACCACAGAATACAAATATCCGCGGTCGAACATAATTAGAAATAGTTTTAGTATGTAAGCGGTTAAAAATTATAATGATGGCTTAACCAAAACCATATATCATAAACATCTCATAGAATGTGCTATCGACCTATTTTGGCTTTGGATATTCATAAAATTATAGACTTAAACTTAAACGCTATTAAAGTTAAAGGCTTTTTTATATGCGACACGTAGTTTGGGACCTCCCGGAAAGTTGTTGTTTCTACCACCCATATAATATTAAATTTTCATATTGGATTAAAGAATATATTAAATCCACTGATTGCCTCGGTCTCGGGTCCGCAAACCTTTAGAGGTCCTGGGTTTGAATCCCAGGCAAACAAAAAAATTGTATTAGTTAAGCAGAGCACAGAAGTCTCTACAACTACCTATAAATAAAATAGATCAGTGAAATGGATAAAGAAGTGTATTAGCCCCATGCCCCAAGGAGGGGATCGGGATTTCAATGTTACATACGTTATATTAGCGAACAAATATTACTATTAGAAAGTATTTCATTAAGTACACTACGTTAAGAAACAGGTAAAATACCTCAGCAATATTATAAGGAATTTCTCGTTACGAACAAGCAGGAAAATATTCTTTATCCACCATCATAACGTTCATTAAGTGCCGAATTTCAGGCAAATACTTCTTTTACATGTAAAAATGTCCGTACTCATATAATTTGTGAATATCATATTAATTCTATTTCATTATCTATATAGATAACATGACATATAGAAGTTGAAAATATTAATATTGTTTACATGTTATTGCACATGAAGGCACCATATAATTTAAAAATCGAAAATAAATTGAAAAAATTTTCGACTCGGGCAGGACTTGAACCGGTATCGTCAGTGTTACGTCCTGTTGCTCTACCAATTGAGCTACCGACAAGGCCTGCCCGAGTCGAAAATTTTTTCAATTTATTTTCGATTTTTAAATTATATAGAAGTTGATTTTATCATTGAGAAGTTCGCAAATAAGATAAAATTAAAATAATTAAAAAATTGTATATACTGTCTGTAGTTTGTGCGATAACACATTTAAATAAAACACTTTAACGGTGTAAAACGTCTTAAAATCTTAGTTGACTGAAAACTGACATGAAAATTATTTTAAATACGGCCCGACGATTCGGATACCCGGATGCTTTGCTACAGCCGTGGTAACAGGAAGACCGACAGGCCATAGTTAAATTAAGGTTCAAATATCTTTACCTAAGATATATCGCGTTTTTAACCGTTAAAGTGTTTTATTTTAATGTGTTATCGCACAAACTACAGACAGTATATACATAACAATATGTATAAGTTATAAATATATTTCAGGTTTCAAACCGTTAAAACTGTTTTACTTAAGTGTGTTTTATATTCATTTTATACTCTTTGTAATTTGAATTGCTAGAAATAGTCGTTGATCTTATTTTATTTGGAATTGCCCCCTCAACCCCATTTCCCCTTGACTCGATTGCGGTGCCCATTTTTTTGTTTCAATTTACATCAAATTAAATATGAATGATTTAATAGTAGCTCTAATAGTTCACAAAAGGAGATATTAAGCCTTTATAAGCTATAGGTTGATTTACCTAATAATTCAGGCGTACCGTTCTAAATTCACGTAATGTCGAGGGTAGTCGATGTTAATTGAAGTGCCATTGTTATATGGATCAGTGCTTTCAAGAGCACGTACTCGGTAGCTAGGTTTTGTTCAATATGTGGAGCCTATATTCAATACTCATTATATGTGCTACTAAGATATACGAAGCTCCAAACTTCTGTATGTATGTAATAATAGTATGTTTACATCAATACATAGTATAAAACAAAGTCGCTTCTTCTGTCACTATGTGCGCATAAGCGCTAATAATAAGATATAAATCTTTAAAACTACGCAACGGTTTCTTTTAATTGATAGAGTGATTCAAGAGTATTGTTTTTATATACTACGTTCACAGATCTTTTGTAGTGTATTTAGTATCAGTTGCTCCCAAGCGAAGCCGGGCGGGTCGCTAGTATTCAATAATGGTATGGAAGTAGTCTTAAGTAAAATAGAACACTCTAACGGCTTCAAACGGGATATATATTAGTGAAACTTATTTGAAAATAATTTAAACTATGACCCGACGTTTCAGATGCTTGGCAGTAGCCGTAGTCAGGGGGAGAATCGTCAAGTAAAGCACCCGAAACGTCGGGCCGTACTTAAAATAAGTTTAACTAATATATTTCGCGTTTTAAACCGTTGAAGTGTTTTATTTAAATGTGTACTACTCGCGAAAACTATAGACAGTATTTAGTCTTAATTTTTTAACAATGACAAAGTACGCCTTCAGACACAAATTAACTTGGCACGCCATTCTAACCCTCCACGGATATTGCAGAATAAAATATTTTTGGGTTTCTCTTAGATAAATATAATTAATAGAAATAAAGGTATTAAGATAGATAGATTCCTCGTTGCAAAAAAATGGCTTAATCATGATTCATGCTTACAAATTAAAAAACATCTTAGGAATACCATACATCTCCTGGATACAAAATTGCACTTGTTAGTTATATCTAAACACTAGCTGTTGCAGCGACTTCGTCCGCTAAGAATATTTATGTTGAGCATCCAAATTCGTTTTTGCAAACCAAAGACGTCGGTTGCGTCCCTTCCCGTCGTTCTAGTTAATCGTAAAAGATAGACATCGTCGTTGCGGACTTTTTTCTAGATAATTTAAAAATAATCATTATTTTGTATATAGCCTTCCCCGATAAATGGTCTAATCAACACATAAGGAATTTTTCAATTCGAACCCGTAGTTCCTGAGATTAGCGCGTTCCAACAAACAAACTCTTCAGCTTTATATATTAGTATAGAAGTATAGATATATAAAAAATCCGTTCTTGAAGATCGTTAAAAAAATAATCGATTTATATAAAAGATTATTTGATAGCTGTGAATAAATAGTCGATTGATAATTGGTATAGGGAATTACCTTCATATCATTGAATTGATATTAATATATTAATCTTTAGTCATACAGTTATTCTAAAACTAAAGGGTAATCCCCGATTCTTCATCATCATCAATTGTTGTACAGCCTCTAGTGGATCCTAGTCTCCTCTAGTCGCTTCCGCCAACACAATCTATCCCGTGCTTCCCAAGTTCTTTAGCAATTCCCTCCCACCAGCGGAGCCTCGGCTTCCCGGGCTTTCTCGTGTCTCCCTTCCGCGGGTTCCCGTATACATGACCTAGCCACTTAAGTCTGCTGATTTAAATGAATTGGACTATATTGGCGTCGCCAAGAATGAAGAACTCTTTATTATATCGGACACGGCAAACACCGTCAACGCAGACGGGGCTAATAGATTCTTCTAAGTACCTTTCGCTCGATCCCCGATTCTTAGAACTTAAAAAAAAATATGAATAAGTCCCCGTATATTTATAGACCAAAATATCAAGAAATCATTATCTTTCTCAAATACTTTTTAACTCTCCCCGTGACCACGGCTGCTGCAGAGCATCCGAAACGTCGGGCCGTACTTAAAAATAATTTTCAAACACGTTTAAAATATATCGCGTCTTAAACCGTTAAACTTTTATAAAGATACTAATATTCTTCACTACTCTTTTTAGTCATTTTCATTAGTTTCTTCATTTATATTTTGTTTCAAGATTATTTGTATTGTAATTGATGTTTTATGTTAAAGATCTACTCAGTCTTGTAACGCTGTATTTTTAATTTTCACTACTGAAAGGATGAAAGACGCGTTAGAAACGAACTTCAATTGAAATTAAATCCTGAGCAAGCGACAAAGCGACCACAGATGCAAATTAAAATATCTGTGTTTTCATTAAAGAATAAAAGAAAAGTAATAGAGCATAGAAATGTTTCTGGTTTATCGTTTATATGTATATATGTTACCGAAAATGTATAAAATTGGTAATTGTATACAATTGCTAGGAATATATACAATGACACG